TACTAATTGCTGACTTGTTATCCCAGTAGAGTCTCGTTGGCTATCCCCATTCAATTTCAAATCTTCTAGGATCATTTCAGCCATAAAAGTTTACTCACCCCGTGGGCCATTTGTCAAATTTCTGATTCTGCATTAGATCAGGTAATCATATTCTGTTTCTTGTTTCTCCGCATGACCAGGTTCCCTCCGAGTAAAGTATGGTAACCAGGGGCAGATCTTCTGTGAACTAATGGTTCTACATAATCTACATCAGTGTAGGCTTCAATTGTCAACTGGTTATTTCTTTTAAACATGTGTACTCTTCAAATACTGGAGTACCCTTTATACTTCAATACAGCTTGCAAGTGCACCTCCTTAGGCTTGTGGATGAATTGGTTTATCATGGCAAATCAAGTATATTAGTTTTCCAACTAGTTTTATGGTACATTTTCTTCTTGACATTTGAGTCGTCTTTCACCAATTCAAAATTGTGGTAAGAATCAATTGGGGTACCAACAGATTACTTGCCAGCTTGCCGGTCTCTTTCAAAAGTTCAGTGACATACTTTTGAGGAAGTATTTTAACTTTCTTAATTCACTGATTTCAAATTCTCAGCTCGGACATTACTTGAGCACTGTTTCTTCCTTTTATAATTACCTGTCACAATTATATCATCCAACATACATTAGGAGGGTTATAACTTTTCACGAACTGGAATGTTTAATAACCATGGCAAATCTCCTAATTAATACACAATAAAATAGGAAATAAAAGATAACAAATTAATTCTATTGTAATTCTATAAATTGTGACCAGCAGTAGGTTGGACTCCATTTCAAAGTTATCACCTATAAATTTTTTTCTTTTTAAATCAATAAACTCCTTTTAGCACATGATCTCTGTCTCTCTCTATCTCTCTTCACTTTGTTTGAAAATTTTAATTTTTTCCTGATGTTGGGTTTGTAGGCGTTGCTATATTCGGTTCATTCGAAAGGTCAATGAGAAGAAGGGTGTGGAAGGTCAAGAGGAGACAAAAAGAGCTTTTGATTTTATGCTCAGTTATATTGGTATATATTTTCTCCTTTTCGGAGTTGTTTATTTTATTTTGATTGAGATGCTAAAATGTCGATTCTCTTAATCATCACTAGAGATTTTCATTAATTAATTGATTGTTTACTAAATTCTTTATACTAATTGCTGTGGTTCAATAGATAATTTTTGACCATTTTGTATAGAGCTTCGGTTTTATTCTTGCCTAACAAGAAACTTTAAAAATATTGTGTTAGTAGTGTTTTGCTATGTAGTTGTACAAGTGATAATTCTCTCTAGTGTTTGGTATGAGAACTGGTTGATTTGTGAACCATGCAATCTCTATCACAAAAAGTAGTCCTGGTGATCAAAAGAAAAAAAGTCCTTTGATGTGGTCATGGAAGCGGATGCTAAAGACGTTCTATGGACACCGGGAATGATGAGAAGCTACGCTTCCATCATCTTTTCTTGAATGGAAAAAGAAACATTATTAGATATCAGGATTTGGCAGGATGAGCGGACTGGCATAGAAACATTATTAGCGAGAATCAGATGAACTGGCATAGATTCCAGGAGTGCATTCATTGGAGGCTGGGCAGAGGTAACATTATCAGGTTTTGGGAGGATGAGTGGATTGATGGGGGGAGTCTCATGAGGCAATTCCTGAGGATATTTGCCATTGCACAATCAAAGAACATGGTGATTGAGGAAGCGTATAGGGACCACAGTGGCATAACGGAATGGTTTGTGAATGTGGATAGAAATTTGAATGA